TACTCCTAATGTAAGAGTTTATTTTGTCCATTATATTTGTTCTCTTTACCTTCCAGTGTTGACGTGGTATCATTTCACACAGAAAAATTTCTGTTGACGGATATTTCTTGTGTGTTATATTTATCAGTACATTGAGTTCATTCTTGATTGATTCAGAGTCTGTCTCTTCATCTATGTCATTTCCACCAATATTTATTGTTATACTTTTTAGACTTTGTGGGAAATGATTATTTTTAATAACTTGTTGGAATGTTTCAATCTTTGCACCACTATAAGTGAGAACCATCTGGTTCTTTGCAAGATCACTGTTATAGATGTGTTTAGATTGAGAGTCACTGATTATCAAATGCTCTAGTTGTTGTGGTATATTACGTTGTTTAAGAATGTGTCCTTTTTCAGTAGAATTACTTGTAGGCTTGTTATTTTCCGGGTCTCTGTAATACTATTCTAGAAAAGTATAGAAAAGGGCATTGCCACCTCCCACTATAGCAGGCTAAGAAGCGAGGCTCAGTGAAACGATCGTTCATTCTATCAAGCCGTACAACCGCGATCGCATTATAAGTAAGGTGAGTTGTACATTTTATTCGCAAGGGTGAATAAAAATGCAATCATCTACTAGTATTTAGCCATATATTTTTAGTGCCCCAGGATGCACTGGATAAACCGGGTCAAGCTAGGGACACCCAACTTTGAAGGTAAGATTACCCAATCACTGGCTTATTGCATTGAGTCGGCAAGTGGAGCAGTGAGGTATACTTTCCCTCATTTTTAAATCAGGTTATTCCATGGCAAACATTGGTACTTCAGTTGATGCATGTGGTGTTATTTATAGTAACATTTAGGGAAAGTTGGAATCACAGATTAATTTCTAATTTGTTTTTTCCTGTTGCTATATCTCAATACCATTGAGCTTATATATTTGTTTAGCTCTAGTGTCTCATCAATGGCACGTGAATTTAGTGAAAACATTATTCCACACAAGCATTAGGGTGAAAAAATAACAGGTATTAATATAACATTGATATCATCGATGCAATTTTTTTTCTTTCAGTATGATCAGAGCATTGTCACGGTTTTCCCCGAGCCTGCATTGCAGGTCAAAACATTTCCTTCCAAGAGCAGCGCAGCGGCTTACTTCAACATCAAACCAGAATGAAGACAGCATCGTTGACGATAAAGGTAAGTTTAGTGTTTTCTGAACTAAACCTTATATCATAATACAAGATAATGTAATACATTCATATATCTCTTCCTTTGAGCGCTAAAGTCAACTTTTTTTACCTTTTACAAGATAAAACTCTTTTTTTTTTTCAATGATGAAATTTTTATCAAAATCTGTAGCCAAAAGTAAATTTTGACCACTTGCATCAAAAAAAAAAAAAAAAAAAAAATTACGAAAAATGTTTTTTTTGGATTCTGTCAAAGACTGAAAATGAGAATATAATGGGCGTCACCATTGTCAGTTTTTGAAATATATCTCAAACTCGGAAACAAAACTTTTTTTTTATAAATTGTTATCAAAATTTTTATTGGGAAAATAAGACCCTGTAAAATATCTATGCATGTCACTTGGCTGAATGATCTACATCTTGTCATAATAAAAAACGCAGAGTAGAAAAATACAAAAAAAAAAATTTTGATAGAAAAAAACTAATGACGTCATGAATGAAAAAAAAAATTAAGCAGGGAGGGGGGGTCGCCACCCTATTTCCTGTGATAACAATTAGTGTATTTTAGTGAATAGAGACAATTTTGTCACTATTATAATGCTTTTACTATTTTTACTATAGGTTCCTTTGGTGGAGTTATTATGCCATATCATTAATTTTCAGCTGGTGACATACATTGTAGGGTGAACAGAATATATAATGTGAATGATGGAGAACTTATTGCTCAAAACAAAAATAGTGTTTGTTCATTAACATTGTATTCTATGGAATTGTTCTAAAAAGGGTAATGAACATTGTCATCACTGTCATGTGATTAATGTCCGACTTTCTCTAACTTATGAGTAGGCTTCTACCTTATTACCAAAACCCCAAATCTTTAGTAAATTAACAGTACCCAATGACAAAAAAATCAAGTTACTGTAATATTATTTACACATAATGTGTACGGGGTATATGGGTTATAAAGAGACCATTCAGCCTGCTTTATGTGTCACTGGAAGTGTGACATACATACATACTTTTTTAACAAGTTGAAAATGAACATAAAGTAGCCAATTCACTACGTTCAATTACACACCGTAGCTCCGGTCAGTACAAATGACTATTTTGAACTGTAGGCAATAATCAGCAATTCTGCCAATGATGGAGAGATAGAATCTAGGTCAGGGGAAGCCCCATGACACCACAAATTTCTGTTCGTCAAACCGGGTAAAGGGGGACGGCCGTGTTCCATGGACGTCCTCACCAGCTCTAGCACGCCCTGAGGGTAATGTTGTGACCCATTAACCATCTTGAGTATGTGCCCAGCACACTGGAGCACATGATTGTGTGCGCCATGGACTCTGAGGCCTCGGAGGCAGAACGCACCACCCTCCTAGACCAGGCTCTCATGGCCAGGGCAACTACTGTGCAACGAGACACGGTCTTAGAC